TAACTTAGAAATTTAAAGAAAAATCTTATCAAACACATGCAAAAAATTAATTTGGATAGTTTAGTTTGTTGAGAAACTTTTTTATCTCTTGTGTTTTGATAAAACTCACCGATTTGAAATTAAAAGAATAAAATGTAAAAACTTGTTGATGTCAGGACAAAAAGAAACATTTTAGATTGAGAATCTAGTGATAATAACGATAATAATAATCTAGATAATAACGTATTGCAGTTGAGTAATGTCAAATAAAATAATAGGAACATCCTAAAAAGTCACAGCGGCCGACTAGATATTTTCCTAAAAAAATATTTTTTTTAATCTACTACATATGCTGCCGTATTATCATAAATTGTTTTTTGTCCTGGCATGGCAATGCTTTACATTTTTATTTTTTTAATTTCAAATTTTTTTTTTTTTATAAAAAGAAATACAAGAGATAAAAAGTTTCTAAACTCAAACTAAACTATCAAATTAATTTGCATGTGTTGATAAGATTTCTTTAAATTCGTGCTGCATGATAAGAGTAGTTCTTCAACCTTCCATCACAAAAAGTGAAAAATTACCAGAAAATGTGTTTCATAACAATAATGTATAAAATTTATTAAAAAAAAAAAAACGTTTCAAAATAAAAATAAAACATTATTTTTTCCACCATCTTTGTACCGCGATATCTCCCTAATGGTGACTTTTGACCCAACGTATATGAAACAAACTACCCTTTATTTTGAATAAAAATGCCCTTCACATTTATTCGAAACACCCTGTATAAAAGCTCACGCTCGGCAGTTAGGCCAGTTAAGTTTAAAAAGAAATACGGTTGTTTTAAATTGTGAATCGTGACAATTTGGCGAAGGATTTTTTAAATAGTTAATTGTGTGTTGCTTAATCAGTATAAATTATTGTGTATACCGGGTTGCGTCTCAAAAGTATGGCTTACCCTTATAACTTTTATTTTTTCAGATAAAACAACGCGATTCGGTATGTTATTATATGACATAAATTGGGATTGATTGACGTATTCAATTGTTTTCGGTCACTTCGGTTTCACTGAAGGCCAGGCTACAACTTTGATTTTTAAATGACAAAAAAAAAAATATTTTTACTTTATTCGATTAGAAAATGACACTCTGAATCGAATGACATATCATATGTCAACTTTTGACATAGTCACTCTAAAACAAATTCTATTTAAGAATTTCGAAATCTAGAGTGCCATGGCTGTTAAAAACACTAATTTTGCAATCAAGAGCCTTGGAAAAATGGAATTTGATCGTCTAATATTTTAGTGTCTTGTCCTGGCGGTTAAAGATACCCCAAATCGTATTTTTAACCATATCTCATTTTCAAATGGAACGAGGGTGGCTCATTAGCATATTTGGAAAAACTTGTTTTTTTACAGGTAATTTGATACACACTTGGTATTTTGGAGTCAAATTGTCGTTATGAACCACGTATTTACAATTTCAAATAAACCATATGCCAAAATGTCAAAGTTGACATATGATATGTCACATTCGATTCAGAGTGTCATTTCAATCCAGATAGTAAAAAATACTGAGGGTCCTGTTAAAATCCAAAGTTGTAGTCATTTCAGGTGAAATACAAGTATTTCAAACTCAGTGAATCTGATCAATCAACTCTAATTATCATCAAATATCCGGTGTTTATCTAAAAGTTATAGGGGTGAGCCACTTTTCAGACGCACCCGGTATAGTAAGAAAATAAATCTGTTAAGTGTTTTATCATGAGTTTTTTTAGCAATTTCTATATCAAGGTCGATTTCGATGATCGAAAAACTTAGAATCAAGGGCCCCGTTGATATTATTTATGGTATTACGAATATACATAATTATTATTATTATTTTTAAAGGTAGAATATACTTTTGGGTAAAAAATCCAACCACTGAGGCAGAAAGCCTAGAAGATGCCTGGGAACTGAACAACATCAACACCATAAGCGGTACCATCAAGCAACTAGGTTGGGGCACGATGATCACCAGACTGCCCATTTTGAGCGTGAACTGCGTGACGTACATCTACATAATGAAGGAGCAAAACGTTTGCAGTACTTTTTGCGATAAGATATGGGCCACGCAAAAAACGGCCAACGAAATCTGGATAGAAACTGGAAAGAGTAACCATTTGTTGGAGTTGGAGTTTCAAGTGAGCGATATGGCGATATCTGAGTCTTTTATTGGATTTTCTAATGGACGAACTGTGTGTATGTATATTGTGTGGAAATCTATTGAACAATCGGTAGATGGTATGTAAATGAAGTAAATAGAAATAAATAAATGCCTTTATTGTCAAAAAAGTTTGGTTTAGCAGACAAGGTAAAGTAAACAAACAAACAAACAAAAAAAGAGAATACAAAACATTATACATACATATACTTGTTGTCAGTCTTATTGTTTAAATAAACATTTATAAAATGTTTACAATGTCAAAGAATAAAAAAATAAAAATAAGATTCAAAACATTTAATAAGTTTATAAAGTAAATATCAATGACCTCTAAGATAGAAATTTATTTCGATGTCATTGAGTAAATATAGCAACAGCAAACATTAGACCAGTATTTACAAGATCAAATTCGATTATCAAAATTCATAAAGTCATTTGCGGCGTAGAAAGCCTTGTCTAGTAAATAAGATTTCAATGCTTTGAAATGAAGAAAATTATGTTATGGATTTGAGTTTCAAATGGCGGGTGATTGTGCATTTTTTTTCGGGTTGTATAATATTGAACTTTTACTAACTCTGAGCGTGGTGTAAGTAGATAAAATCTTGCTCCGCGTCCCTGAGTGGATAAGTGTGAGATGGCCTTTCTTTAGAAATATTGATACATGCTTACGTATTAGGCAAACGGATTCAAATATAAATAGGAAGGAAGGTTAATATTTTATTTTTTTTAAAAATCCCACAGCAATAAGTTCTGCTGTTTAGTCCCAATGAAGATATCTGTGCAGCTCTCTTCTGAAGCTTGAAAAATGCGGTCAAATTGAGTCGCACAATACGTACCCCAGAATGGAAGGGCATGCCTGAGGTGCGACTCAAAGAGTGCATAATAAACAGTTCTAGCCACTGACGAGTTAAGCTCCTTAGAAACAGATCTTAAAACAGGCAGAGCTTAATTTTTCGACAAAGCGTCAGTATGCATGTCCCAGTATTTTAAGAGAATTGTCTACAACAAGCCCTAAGAATTTTATAGATATATTCTTTCTATAATCTGTCCAACGGGAGGATCGCGGACAGTGACAGTTGTGTCTGTCGTTTTAATTCACGGGAATATTGTATTTTCTGTCGTTTTTTTGGATATCGTCTGTCGAACTCTTTCTTGGCTCGTTGGACAGACGTTATTAAGATATGAGAAGTCTAGAATTCTCAAAGCATCTATCAAAATTTAGGTTACATTTTTGTACTGGTTATACCGTGTGATAAAAAAACGGCGTCAGCGATGGCTATGAAATGAACATCGATGTCATTTGCCATATAAATTTACATATAAAATGACAGCGATCTTTATTTCATAGCCATCGCTCACGCCATAGATCTTTCTGTTTGTAGTTACATACTCTCTTTCAGGGTTTCCATTCCATGTAAGAGTACAAAATCAATGTAGTACTTGTTTACAGGGTGTTTCAAAAAACATGTGCCATTTCTCGTGGAGAGATTCCTTTTCATATCAACATACATAGGTCCGATTTTGCTTTGTTTCGTAGCTACAGGGTGGTAAAATCTTAATAATCTTTCGATTAATTATAATTTTCTTCCAAGTACATTTAGTGATTTGAATGAAATTTTGAGGGTAAAAGTTACTATAAAAATAAGTGCTACATATTTTAATGCTAAAAAATTGTCGATAAATTTATCAGGGATGTGCATATTGGATTATCACTAGTATATTTTTCAAAAAAAAAAACATGTGCGTCACTGACTTTTTTCTTTTGATATCAAAATTGTGTAGGCCGTTTAATGTCAATTAAAAGTTATTTCTTGATATTTTGTCTAATTCGGCCTCCTTGATGATATAAACGCAATTTTATTAATCGCAATTAATATAATTAAAATTAATAAATTACATGTATATTTTACCTAATTTATTATTAAATATTATTACTATTAGTCCAACGTACATTTCAAATAAAAAAGTAATGGTATTTAAGATAATTACAAAAAACCTAATTTTAAAAAGTTTTAACATCCTGTAACTCTAAAACTATGTAGTTCCATACCCATGTTTATAGGAACTTTTTTCCATATTTTTTTGATGATGAATCAATGAGTACTTATTTAAAACTTTTGCAAGTTAGAGATATTAAAATTTTTTAAAGGTTGCTATTACACTTGGATCAAGGCAAATTAATAAAATTGCGTTTATCTCATCAAGGAGCCCGAAATTGACAAAATATTAAGAGACAAGTTTTAATCGGAATTAAACTGCTTACACTATTTCGCCACAGAACAGATACAAATTTGTATCTGTTCTGTGATTTCGCTAACAAGAGGAAAAAAAGTAAGTGGCGTACATGCTTTTTTAGAGAAATATTCCAGTTATAAATTCATACGCACGTCCCTGGTGAATATGTCGACACTTTTTAAGCTTAAAATATGTCGCATTTATAGTAACTTTTACCCTCAAAATTTCATTCGAAACGCTAAAAGTACTTGGAAAAAAATATAATAAATCGAAAAAATATTAATTATTATTAATATTATTATTAAGACTTTACCACTCCGTAGCTACGAAACCAAGCAGAATCGGACCTATGTTGATATGAAAAATTAATCTTATTTTTACTTGAGGAATCTCCCTACGAGAGATGGCACATGTTTTTTGAAACACCCTGTATTATATATAAAAAATTAAATTAATTCTTTATTGATTTCTTTCAGACGAGAACTTCTGCGAATTTACTGTGACATACAACACTTCATTTCCTTGCGAAAACGAAGGTATCATTATTCACCAAAAACTATAATAGCCATCAACTCCCCAGAACGTAACGCTGTATAATTCGACTGGGCATATTATTTCGCAAATAACGTCAAATCTGAATGAAGGTGAAGCTATAGGCATGGACATTACCCATCATTACCTTACCATTTTCACAATGGAAGGATTTTTGAAAATATATGATCTATCTGAAAGTCAGGCGAAGTTACTGACTAGGGTGAAGAATTTGTATGACATGGTGGAAGATTTCGGTGAAATTATTCAAGCTAAGACAAACTCAAAAGGTAAATGTCATCCCTAGATCATATATACTTACGTGGACTTTGAATAAGAAGACTAAGGAAGGAGCATATCAAAAATCTTAGGTACACCGCGATGGGCCTCAAATATGCCCGACTTAAATTCCGGTTTATCAGTGTCGTTCTAATTTTATTTAAAAAATGTAAAACTATGATGTAGGGTAGACGTGGGGTAGACTCAGTAATTTGTTGTTTTATTTTACGTTGTGAATAAATGTTGGTAGTTATTAAAATTGTTATAAAAATATATAATTCTAATAAAAATGATAAGTTATAATAAGTATTTATTAACACAAACATCCGATACGCTACTGAAGCAGGTAAGTCAAATTAAGGTATCTAAATTCTTTGACATCTAATCTTTGACAAGTAATAAATAAAAGCTAAAATGCAAGAAAAATATATAATTTAGTTGATTTAAGTGAATTTCATAAATGATCGGTTTACTACACGTATGTATATTATATAGTCACTTACTAGCGAAAAGTTGTTCCATTATTTCACTCAATTTTTGCCGAGATCTACCGCACGCTACACAACCAACTATTTTAGAGTCTTTTTCGATAAATCGCGATAGTGTCACTGTTAATTTAAGTGCTGCCACAATTTCCATCTAGATTTACTACCTTTATACAACTATCAATAGTAGAATAAATAATAAATAACATAAAATAAGCTCCGTAAAGACTGACAAATCCACAAAATTTCAAATCAAATTCAAATGTGTCAAATGAATCGTCAAACAGAACTGTCAAGGATCCCCACCCTAGAGTGTTTTTATGGCGCTTTTTCCGCCCACCATGCATGAATACATGGATAGCATTATGCTCCTTCCTTAGTCTTCTTATTCAAAGTTACGTGGATAAGTAAATCACTATGGAAACTGTCGCAAACATATCAACGCCTTCCATTTATCTTCTTTTTTTGTTGCACACGCGGTGCTTCTACTCTATCTATCCTTGTCGAGAAACTATCGTCCACGCGTCACATTTCAACATTAACCAGAAAGTATGCATGTGGTTTAATATAAATAAAAGAACAAGTGAAGCCTATGAAAAGATAATTCGGGGACATTTATATTAGAACTTCCACACACTAAACACTTTCTAGTCATTTTTACGAGTATTTCGAAATTCCAACGAAAAAATAGAAATATAATTGTACAAACTTAAAATTATTTCTCACTGAACACACTTGTATCCTTGGCTATACCGGGTGCGTCTCAAAACTGGCTCACCCCTATAACTTTTTTATTTTTTCAGGTAAAAAGACGAGATTTAGAATTTTAGTGTTTTTTATTATGACATAAATTAGGATTGATTGACGTATTCAATTGTCTTTGGTCACTTCCTGTTTCACCGGAAACGACTACAACTTTTGATATTTAAATGGAACACTCGGTATTTTTTTACTTCATTCGATAGAAAATGACATTCTGAATAGAATGACGTATCATATGTCAACTTTTGACATTCTCGCTTTATAAAAAATCGTATTTGAATTTTCGATCTAGAGTGCCATGGCCATGACTATGTTAAGAACACTAATTCTTAATCAAGGAACCTTTGAAAAATAGATTTGAACGTCTAATGTTTTTAGTGTCTTATCCTGGCTGTTAGAAAATGCTCAAATCGTATTTTTAATCATATCTCAATTTTTTCAAACGGAACGAGGGTGGCTCATTAGCATATTTGGAAAAACCATTTTTTACGAATAATTTGATACCACACACTTGGTATTTCGAGTCAAATTGTCGTTGTTACAATTTTAAATAAACCATATGCGAAAACGTCAAAAGCTGACTAGTCGAGGTAGAACTCCACATATGATATATCATTCTATTCAGAGTGTTATTTTCTATCGAACAAAGTAAAAAAATATTGAGGGTGTCGGGTGTCATTTAAAAATCAAAAGTTGTAGTCATTTCTGGTGAACCAGGAAGTGACCAAAAACAATTGAATACGTCAATCAAACCTAATTTATGTCATATACTAACATACCAAATCTCGTTTTTTTATCTGAAAAAACAAAAAAGTTATATGGGTGAGACACTTTTGGGACGCACCCGGTATACTTACTTGGCTGGTACTAAAATATAAGTTTTTTTTTTTAATTTTATAGGCAACAAAGTAGCCATGACTCTCGCCGCAGCCAACCTAGTACCGGACGGAAAGCTGTACATATGGGACATCGAAAGGGACGATTTGATATTCTACGATTTTCGAAAATACGAAGATTTTGAAAAATCGACGATGGATAAATATTTTGAAACTGAAGGGGAAAAAGACGCGAAGAAAGAGGACAACGATTCGTCTACCGATTTCGATGAAGTTTGTAAAAACCGAATTCCCTTGTCACTTCATTGGTGCGAAGATGACTCCAGGTTGCTTGTGTGTAACGCGAAGAAAATTAAAGTTCCTGGCACTAAGAAGAATCAGTCTACCAGAAAAAGTATGTTTTCAAATGGAATTTAATAAACTCAAAATTTATACCCTGAAGGACATTTTACAGTTGGCAATTTGCTTGCATGCAAGCAAAGTTGCAGCAACTTAATTGCGGCAAGTAAAATGACAACAACTTTTCTAGCATGTAAGTAAAATTGCCAGCTGTAAAACAGCCTTAAGTGTATACCTATAAAGTTACCGACCAACTAGTGATGGGCATTCACGATTCTTTTAATGAATCGAATCACACGATTCTCTTTCTCATATTGAATCGACTATTACGATTCGTTCATTTGTCTTTTTCAACGAATCCCATGCATAATTTACGTTTCATAAAAACAAGAATCGTAACTGGCACTACCGGCGATAATTTGGTCGGACAATTACTTAAAGGACCAGAAAAAGAAATATACAGTTCTTTCATTTGTTTTTTAACACTTTATGACACTGGCGCGGCGTAATTGGATTGATTATTTTACCAATAATATTAAATTATCAAACAACTTTATATATATTATTTACTATTTATTAAAGACTTCTTAATACCAATTTAATATTTTTAGAGCCATATTTTAATTCCTATTTAGTAATCATAATAAATTAGCATATAATACACTAAAAACCGCAGATAAATACCGCATGATTGAAAAAAATGGTCTCCAGTTGGCTTGGAAATGAACATCGATGCATTCCCCATATAATTTTACATATAAAATGACAGCGCTCTTCATTTTATAACCATCGCTGACGCCGTTTTTTATCATATTGAGCAGAAACCAACAATATTTATTTGGAGTTGCAGAAAAACACGATTTAGTCTTTTATTCCGACATGTAATGGTTTATAGTCGGTAATATTATTTTAACAAAAATATTATCGTGAAAATTAAATACCTTGCAGATACTCCCGTACCACAGATTAGGTATCCTATAAGTATACAGATAAAAATCTTGTCCCTAATTCGTGGTACGAAAATTGATTTTTATGACGATGTGCAAACGAGTCAAATTTCCTAATGCGCAAAATAAACTCGCGTAAAATAACAATAAACAGCGTAATAGAGAGATATCGCTAAAACCGAATAGCGTGCATGGACGTTAATAAGGTCAGGTGTTATTTCCTTTACGTGAGGTGGTATTAACTCTCTTCATTTATAGTTATCGGACCGGAAAGAATTCTGATGCGGCGCGTCCGCTATTTAAACTTAACCTAACTTTGAATTTAAAACTTTGAAATTGTTTGTTTTACTAGGTATTTTAAAACTAAAGGGCTGCTTATTTCAGTGCTTTATTGTTCAACGTCTGCCAATGGGTTTAGGGCAACAAGCAGCAAATTCTCTTAGAAGGGGCTAAATCGTCATCTGCTGTAAACCTAAGACTCTTTATAGGTTCTTTAGTATTATTGGAAGAGGTGGAATCCATATTTTGGGCCATATTTTATATAATTAAAACTAATCCCAGTTACTTAAATATCAAATTACCTAATAAAACTAAAGCAATAATTCAAAACAATTCAAATATAACCCTAAAATAAAAAAGATCTCGCCGGCCAGCTTCGGTTGTCAAATACCCGCACATGCCCATGTTTAAGCAATTTTTTAAACGTTATTTAGAAATAGCGCTTGGTGCTTAATAATTGATCCGCAAATTACGTCAGGCGGTAACGTTATTAGCGGAGTGTTGCGTTAAAAATTGACTCGCGCATATCGTAACCATGATAAGGTACGCGTAAATACTGGATGACGCTATTCGGTTTTCCGATATCTCTCTAATAACTGTGCCGGTCAGGCGCTGTGCACAATTTTAGAGGCCATGGGAAATTGGGCGGGCTATGTGCGCAAACTAGTCACCTAACTAGTGCCCGATTCCGAAATTGGAACCACGAAAAAACAATAAAGAAAAACAAAGATTATAATCTGTATAATCTGTGCCCGTACTAAGCACAGTATAAATAAGTTTTTTCTTGTAAATAACTTTCTTATCGTTGCATTTTATACCCATGATGTTTGTTTAGGGCTTTTGTTCAAAATTGTAAATATTGGTGCCTGACTCTATGCTTATATCACCGCCGCGCCACGCCGTAGAAAACAACGATCACATTGTGATCCGATTCAGATTCTCACGATTCTTTTTACGGCTCATCGTTCAACTCTCTTTCCTGGCCACGATTCAATTGACCGAACCGTATTTTAAGCAATGAATCAATCTCCCACGACTCTTTGAACCAACGATCGCATTCATGATCCGATTCAATTCTCACGATTCTTTTTACGGCTCATCGTTCAACTCTTTCCTGGCCACGATTCAATTGACCGAACCGTATTTTAAGCAATGAATCAATCTCCACGACTCTTTGAACCAACGATCGCATTGTGATCCGATTCAAATTCTCACGATTCTTTTTACGGCTCATCGTTCAACTCTTTCCTGGCCACGATTCAATTGACCGAACCGTATTTTAAGCAATGAATCAATCTCCACGACTCTTTGAACCAACGATCGCATTGTGATCGATTCAATTCTCACGATTCTTTTTTACGGCTCATCGTTCAACTCTTTCCTGGCCACGATTCAATTGACCGAACCGTATTTTAAGCAATGAATCAATCTCCACGACTCTTTGAACCAACGATCGCATTGTGATCCGATTCAATTCTCACGATTCTTTTTTACGGCTCATCGTTCAACTCTTTCCTGGCCACGATTCAATTGACCGAACCGTATTTTAAGCAATGAATCAATCTCCACGATTTTGAACCAACGATCGCATTGTGATCCGATTCAATTCTCACGATTCTTTTTTACGGCTCATAGTTCAAATGTTATGGATCCATGCGGACCACGATTCAATTGAACGAACCGTATTGCAAGCAATGAATCGAATCTCACGATTCATTTTTAATACACGTTCAAATGAACGACTCGTTCAATCTTTGCCCACCTCTACGACCAACCAACCAACCCATCGCCTTCTTTCCATGACGTTACACATAAGCCGTCGGGCCTTCTTTTCTCGATGGTAATGGCTGGACCTTCGAATAAAAAGACTAAGGAATATTATTTATATATTCCTGAATTGAATTTTCTTATTTGTATTTTTTAATTTATATTAATTATGTATTTAGGTGAATCTAAAACTTTAAAGGATGAAGATCAGGTTATTGTCACCATGTTTGTTCTGCCAGAAAACGGAATACAGATCCACGACTTGAAATCGGTGGAACCCGACACAAGGTTATTGGGCGTTTCTATACCCTATATCGTTACTTTACAGAAATTGAGTATTGTAAGGGATGTGATGAGCGATTTTAATGGACTAGAAGAGTGCGATAAGAACACTAAAGAAGCAGTTATCGATTTCAGCTATAATTTGAGTTTGGGTAATAATATTCATATTTTTACGGATTTGGTAGATTCTAGCACTTTGATTTGTTTTGACCCAACATACAGGGTGGTCCGAACTGTATTTCGGAAACTTCGGCAGCATATTCTGCAGATAAAAATAAGTAAAAATAGTTCATATAAATATATGTCCTAAAATGCTTAGTTTCGGAGATACAGGGTGTAGAAGTTTCATTTTTATTTCGATTTTTTCAAATAATTTCTGAAGTAACGTTAATATTTGGATGAAAATTGGTGTCAGGGAGTTTTTTGCATGATAAATTTGATCTTGATGTCAATATGACTCTTATTTTAGGGGCGCCACCTACATGTGTTTTAACTGTTTTGAAAATTAATAACTTTTTGTCCGTACCTGTATAAAAGTAGTGTGTGAAGAAATATTCATTGCCGTGATTTTTTACGTAAAAAATGTCTGTTGGTAAAAATCGCTACAAGCAACCGTTCTCAAGATATTTAGAATAGAAATAGTCATTACCTGTCATTATTGACAAAAAAATAAACATGTTGAGAGTAGATACAGTCATAAAATAATTAACTTGAAAGAAGTGTCAACTCGTGTTCAATCGTGGAAACACGATACGCCACCGAAAGCCTTTGTTGTTGTCTGGAGAACTAATTTTCCAATTGAGAGGTTGACATGATGGCTTCATTTTTATTTCCATTTCCGGTTAATCAATGGCGGGCCCTCTTTTAGTTTAAATGTATTTTGTACTCTTTCTTATCATAAATAAAACAAAACAAAATTTTATTCAAACATATTTATTTGAAATATGAGACAACGTGTCTAAATAAATATAAAAAATAAAGAATTGAATGATTTCTACAGCAATTACTTAATTATATGCAATTTTAATCTAAATTAGTAAGGTATAAGCATGACTTACAGTAATTTGTAAATAAATACACGTATTCATTGCCATCAGGGATAGAAAACGGGGGCAGGAACATGAAAATTCAAACCTTATACAAAAACCTAAAAACAGAAAAACAATTTTTTTATACTAAAATTAACAATGTAAAAATATCAATCAGGTATAAAATATAAATATACTGTTTAAAAAAAGCGTCCATTATTCCCAAAGAGACCTGGCTTATAAATCAAAAAGAAGCAAAAGGAGACTTTTAGTCGGATAACATAATCCAAATACGTTTAAATAAAATATACGACGGCCTCCCCATAAGAGCAATGAGAGGATTTACGTTCCAGTATTGAAGGAGGACAGCAAATGGAGTCGAATGGTTTCAAGACATAGGTTCATCCTTGTTTAGTCAAACCTCCTACAACACCTAGCTATCCTTCAATATCGGGACAGGAATTTAAGCGGTACCCTCCGTATACTTTATTTTAAACGTATTTGACATAATGAGATTATCAGTCCGATTTATTGCATTATTGACAATAAATCGCACATACTGGAGATAACTAATGTTGGCTATAGTTAAAAATGATCTTACCTTGCTGTAAATTGTTTCCATTTTCAAAAAAATCGCCGATCAAAGAGATTATAACACCATTTTCTTGCATCTAAAAAATGTAAAAACAGTGTTTATTTACTACCTATTTTTCATATACATGGGACATACATACTACTGCAGAAACGTCATTTTCTCCAGGATTCTTCATGTAATATATATTTTATATACTTTAGTACCTTTATATTTATAAATTTCAGCCGAAATATTAAATTGAACTTCCAAAACGAAACTAAACGGAATGAATCAAAATGGCGTCGAATATTTTCTAATTTGTTCTAGAACAAATCTGAAGTTGTCTCTGAAACTGAAATCTGTCAATTCTAAACTGTGAAGTTAGACAAAAACAATGCTGTCCTTGTCTAGGCGGCCATACTTGTCCTGAGGAGAGTGACAGGAATGACACTAATGACTGTTTCCAATTTTCCTATTTCACTGTCAACCCCCTGGATACAGTACGTCTATCCGTTCTGTAGCTACGGGGTATCCGTAAGGGGGGGAGGGGGAAACGTTAATCGCTCGATGTTTCTCGTAAAAAATTATACGACGCGTCCCATCAATAAAAATTCGACAAATTTGTAAGTAGCCAATGAAATGAGTGGGCGGATTGTTTTGCGGTGACATACTCGTCAAGTTCACGTATAAAATATATTGCTGTTTATTTAAATGTTTTTTGTCCGCATTCCTTTCATTCACAGATCCAGTAGATGTACTTTAGTTATTTGACTGAAATCATAAATTTGGGAACTTTTTATTTTTTAAATTAAACATAAATTTTTCTTCGAAAAAATGATGGTAAAACAGTTTCAGTTGTACTTTTAACACTAAAACATTTCAAATTTATGATTTCAGTCTAATAACTATTTAGTCAACATGTTTAATTTATGTCAATGACAACAGGTCAATATGATAAATGATAAACATCTATTGCTATGATGATTTTGAAACATTTTTTAGAGCTGTTTAACAAAATTTGATTGTTAGATACAGAAAAAAATACGTTAATAAAATAAGTAAATGTCTATTTATTTCTCTGGAATTATCATGTTTAGGTAATATGGATGCTGCTTTCAAATCAATAAAATTAGTCCAAAGCCAAGGGGTTTGGGCCAGTTTGGCAAGGATGTGCGTTAAAACTAGACGTTTGGACGTTGCCAGTGTTTGTTTAGGACATATGGGCGACGCTAAGGCTGCTAGGGCTTTGAGATTAGCCATAAACGACAATACGTTGCCTCAAGAAGCCAAAGTTGCTGTGTTAGCTATACATTTGGGATTGCTGGTAAATGTATTATCAAGTTGTCAATTCCTGATGATAAAAATATTGTTAAATTGAGTTAATTTATTTAGAAAATTATGATCTTTAAAGAAAATTATCTGTGTTATGTCTCGTCTACACAACACTGGAAGTTTTGGTAATTATTGGGAAAACTGGAAATCGTCCGATTACCGATTTTCACCAAAATTGGTATACACCCTATTTTGAGATCGTAGATTACGAACCTGAACTTTTTTCTTGGCGGTCTCAATTTCAACATTGAATTTTTCTTTATTTCAGCCCTATAAAGTAATAGTTTTATTATATTTTCATTATATTATAGTTTATCTAAAAGCCACACTTGATTGAGGATCGAAAAATGTCTAAAATTTTACTGAAAAACACTTTTCTTAACAAAATAACAAAGAAAATTGAGACCAGATGGAAGTTTGACATTTCATAAATATCTTTCTTTCTCTCTGTTATGTAATGAGAGAGACAAATATATTCTAGATCTAGTCTTGAAATTTGAAAATTTGCAATGTTGCCGTATCTTGTATTTTTTCAGGTGATTAGGGATTTTAAATAAATTATGTACCCTGACAGTAGTTGAATATTAAATATACCTATCTTGCCTATATCCACAAAGTTGCGCGGAAGAGTTTTGATTGCATTGGTTTCAACTATGCGGAGGGGGTTAATATTTTTTTGTTTATTATATTAAAAAAAGATTAACCCCTCCGCAAAGAAGTTGTAACCAATGCAATCAAAACTCGTTCGTGCAACTTCGTGGTTATAAATAGTTAGATCTCGTTGGTAAAATAGCAGTTATGGGAAGGAGCCGTTCCTCTGGCGACCGCCTCTCGTAATCCCAGAATGAGCGAAAAAAACGCGCTAAATTTAGGTTTAGCATTGGCAACGTTGCTTTAAATGTCAGAAACACATAACCCAACATTTTCAGATTGTTTACAAATTTATTGTATATGCATAGAATTGGTTAAAAAATGACAGAAAATAGCAAAAACCTCATAAGGGAAATTAAAACAACTTTCGTTGCACGTCATCAATGACACCATGTCGTGGTCTTATGGAGTTTGCTGGTGGTCTTATTATGATGTGCAACTAAAGTAATTTTAATTTCCCCATAACAAAATATGTATGTGCTAGAAAACCTTAAAAATATGAGAAATTAAGAAAAATTCGATGTTGAAATAATTTTGCGTTTTTCTGAAAAACGGTAAGAGACCGCCAGAAAAAAGTTCAGATCTACGACCTCAAAATAGGGTGTATACCAATTTTGGTGAAAATCGGACGATTTCCAGTTTTCCCAATAATTACCTAAGTTTTACGTGCGGTTTTATCAATCATAGCGCTGTGTTTAGTAGAAAAGAAAAAACATGGAATTTTGCTTCAAAATATTAGTTATGTTTTAAATTTCATTTGTAAACACGTACAGCTATATTTGAAGACAATACCGTTTGGTAATATCCATTGAATATCTCTAAACATTGTTGTAAAATTACGCTATTTTGTGCAAAACTAAGTATGCAAAAATATTAGATTTCTATAAAGTTGCTGATTAAAAATACTTCAGCATAACCATTTTTATGTAAATTTACTTATATTCCTGTCACTGTAGGCCCAACGACAGTTTTGTTTAGCAGGCAATTTTTATAAAAAAAACAGCGGTTACGTTTTATCAGCAGGATGACGGGATGTCGTTACTGCCACCCTTAGATGTTTACGTTTTTTAGGACGAGGCTGAACAATTGTATTCCAAATGCGGACGGTACGATCTGCTTAATAAACTGCTTCGTTGCCGAAATAAAATGGAAGACGCACATACTTTAGCCAAAACCAAAGACAGGATTAATTTAAGGAATACCGAATACTGTTGGGCTAAATCGCTAGAAAAGGCTGGCGATTTTAAAGAGGCAGCAATGAGGTAAGGTTAAGGCTGCACATGCTGCATACCCTGTTACGTTTAATAAGTGGCGCCCAACGTGGGGCGCTGGTTACTGAAAATCCCAGTAGATGGCTTTATAATGCGTCAGCTTGACGCGAATTTTTCAAAAACCCGGTCTTTACGTCATCATTGCCTAGCAATATGATTGAAAATGTGTAATAAGCAATATCGTTGTGAATTTGAAGGAAAAAAAAAATTGGTCAAGTGCGAGTCTGACTCGCGCACGAAGGGTTCCGTACCATTCATTATATATACAACATTAGATACTATATTATTATAAACTTTTTTCCGATTTAGCTGAAATTTTGAATGCGTGTATAAGTAATTTAAAAAAAAATTAAGAAACACATTATTAAAAATTGTATTAATCAATAATAAATATGTAAAAAGTAAAAATAAATATGTAAAAATATGTAAAAATTAAAAAAAACGATTAAAAAAAGTCGCCTTGGCTAGGATTCGAACTTGCCTTACGACGGCTCCAAGTCATAGCAGCGTAAAATCCTAACGCTTTAAACCACGCGGCCACCGAGGACTTGAAAGATTCTATGTAAAATTCTTACTTAATAGATAATGTTTAGTGAAAGTACTTTTTTATTTATACACATTTATTTAATTCTGTTGTATAATTTTTAAATTATATAAAAATGCAGTCTTAAAAGTAAAAACAAACTGTATAATTCCAATTTTAAAGGCATTTTCATTAACCGAAACAACTTAAAAATTACCTTTCCAAAAATATAGCACACTTTGATATTTTGTTATAGTCCCCTTCGAAATGCAGAATTTTTAAAACTTGACACTTTTACTAGGTAGTAGGCTTTTGATCCCTTATTGATGATATGCCCCTAATGGAACTCTGCTATTTTTCCAGTAAGACGAGGCACTGCCTCAGGAACGCTGGAAGTTATCAGCAAATTTTGCAGCTACTCTGAGAATAACTGAATAGCTAACCATGATCCCAGCCGTTGGTCGTCGAGGCCGCCTGATTTAGTGCCGATGGATCTAATCTTTTGGATATATTTGCGGAAGACTAAAGGTTCTTATATTTTAAATTAAGTTTTTTTAAATAAAATTAAATCTAGACAAGAATTATAAGTATTTAGCGGTTATGTGAGGGTATCTCTAACCCAATGAGTTAATTTCACGAAAAATGTTCAAAAACGGTTAGGTTAGGTTAGGTCAAACCAACACCTGTAGCAAAATCTCATGTCTTGGTTTGCTATTAATTTTTTTCGCTATTAGATATAGTTTACATGCGTTGATGTTAAATATAATTTAAATTGTTATAAAATTCTGCATCTCTCTTTGCAAAGATTATTTTCGTTTTAATTGCTGCTCACAGCTAGAATTTTTTTGCATTACAGCCGGCGCCGTTCAAAGCCTATACTTATTCAAAGTGTGCGAATTTTTAAAAACTCTATATATCGAAGAGGAATCGAGCAAAATATCAAGTATGCTATATTTTTGGAAAGGTAATTTTACATTCTTTTCAATGAATTAAAAATATACAGGGTGCCCCATATAAAAAATCAAATTTTCTGTTGATAATTCTTAAATTATTAATTTAAAAAAATATTCTTAAATCACTAAATTCTACGTAAAAAGGTGTTTTATTGGGAATGTTGTCATAAACAAAAAAAAATCCATAGCAAAAAGTTACAGCCATTTTTTAAAAATGTACATTTTTGTTGGTTTTCACCATCATGTTTTTGATACAAATTGAGCTCCAGACGCGAATATTAGTTTTCGTCTATCTCATATAGAAACGGATGTTTCCTTTTAAAAGCGTACAATTTGGCCCACCCTGTACATATTTTTTGAAATCTTATTTTATTTTAATTTGTACTCGGACGCTAAATGCTAAAAAATAAATACATAAAATTCTCGCAAGGTAGTTTTATATTAATTATAATTAATAGCCACCTTGCGCGATATTTTTTTATTATTAAAAATCCTCTCATAATTGCATTGGTACATAGAAACATATTATCTTCTGCGAATTTTAGAAAAATATTCATATATTAAAATTAAACTGACCTTGAATATTATAACGCTTTAAAACAAATATGTACGTAAGGCTAGCCCATGGCTAATGTCGATGTATATGGACATTAGAACCATTAAGTGAAAAGCTACATTATAACGACATGTACCATTTTTGTTTGGTCGATGTACTTTTTGAGCATTTATCGCTTAGAGTGACAAAAAGATGCGCCATTTGAAAGATTTAATTCTTTCGAATGAAACAGATTTCTTACAAATGAACTCGACCTTTTGATACTTTTGTTTAATTTTCCTCAAATCTCATTATTAAAAAGACCTAATTTATAGAATATCATCATCATCATCATCATTATTTCCAGCTTATTCAACCATTTCCAATTATAGTGTAGCTTCCCTTACATACTTACATTTTTGTTTATTGTTGGCTATGCAGGTCCAAGTTATCCCTGCTAATTTTCTAATATAATGGTCCCATCTTAGGTTTGGTCTTCTTCTAGGTCTCTTAATTCCTTGTGAGTACAATACTGTAATTTTTGTGGTCCATCTGTTGTCAGTTCTTCTTGTCAGGTGTCCTGCCCATTGCCACTTGGGGGAGGGAATTGATTTTGTGAATGACATCTATTACCTGGGTCTTTTGTCGCAGCCACTCTATTCTTTTACGGTTTCTCTTGGTTATTCCCAGCATATTTCTTTCCATTGAGCGTTCCGCGACCTGCAGTTTCCTTATAATGTCTGTTTTAAGTATCCATGTTTCGCATGTCCAGTGTCCATGCCAGTGGCCAGGCATAGAACTTGACTGCTAATAAACATTGATAGTTGTTTTCTTTTTTATATAAAGTGGCATTCTAGATTTGAATATGATTGTGTTTCTGTTTCTTCCATATGTACTGCATGCTAACTTAATGCTTCTGTTGATTCCTTGAGGGAGAGTGATATGTGTGAATAAACCTTGAAAGACGCGATAAATGGAAGCTATATGTACTAAAATAATATCTAACAAAATGAATTGATAAGAAAAAAGAAAAAATAATGAGACAGTTAAAACAACTTTTTATTTGTAAAAACATATTATATACAATAAAATTATTGCATTTTTCTCTTTGAGTTTATTTTGTTTTTCTGTGTTTTTTTGTTAATAGTTGGTATTATATTTTTAGTGAAGGTCAAACTGCGACCAAAGAAAGCAAAGTCCAAATCTTGTTCTCACAAGTCAGGAAGACAAGTCATCAAGCCAAACAATGGTTGATTTTTATTTTTTATTTAATATTTATTTACCTATAATTGGTCAAAAGTAATAAAATCCTTTAAACACATAGCGATTTTTATTTTGTAAATATTAAATATTTAACAGAATTTTGTGTTTTGACTATCACATTTCTTCGATGACTCCCCAACTTCATTTATAATATCTCATAAAATTCTGAAAAGCTATACCTTTTCATTTCTTCCATCTGATATAAAACCACTCAGTCACAAATGCACAATATGAAAAAAAAGTCGAATGGCATTAAATCTGGAGAATAAGATGGACTTTACTAATAAAGGGAGTAAACAACCAAAATGGGATACACTCTAGGGACACACTCCATACAGAACCACATATTTTTTTTGGAAGCAAATATTTTCATAAATTCTAAAAATAATATATAAAAAATAACACTTATTCTATTGCACTTACCATGAAACATGTTTTCAAAGTATTTAACTAACTATGAAGGTTTCTATAACGTTCATATATAATTTAATAATTTATTATATTTATTGTAATTATATTCTCCGCTGGATGTTTTCAATGAAATAATACTTGAACTGTGTACAACCAACGATAATTTACATCAATATTAATAACTAAAAAATTGTATATCATTAATAATCTAATGATAGTTTATTACCAGTAACAAAAAAAATATTACATATACTAGTAAAACATACGAGTAAGCTTTTAAATTAATGTTTGTATAATTTCAAAGATGATTTCAGTAGGTATTTCGATTCATGTAAAATGATTTTTTTAATTTTTGGTCAAATTTTTCACCGTAATTGGAGAAACGGACTAATGCATGATGCATTACGGATGCATGTAAACCCACACTCAGTGTGTGAATTAAGGTGAGTTTATATGCATCATTTCTTTGCCTAATTTGGTGAGCTTCTCTAGGTATTCTTTCACCAACTTCGAACTGACGGTTATTGAGTTGATCGCTTTTAAAGGCGGCCGCACGTTTCCTACTATTCGATACGATTGTCTGAAACGATTATCGGATCCGATTATCTGACGCTCAAATAAACTATAGGTTATTTAACTATATCGCACACTTACGATCCGATATCGGATCGGACGTCCGAGTCGGATGCTTGGCAGTGCGTCGTACTGATCGGATCGACAAAAAATCTTATCCGACAGCCGGAAGGTGTTCTATTATATATGCATTGTTTTTGTATATTGTAGGGCAAACATACGATTATTTTTGTCAGTTTTGATGCGTGAGTTGCTCAGTGCAGGCTTCTTTTATTATTAATTAGTTATAAAAACATATAAAACGGAAATATTTTGTCGGCAGTGTGCGGTAGTCGTCCGATTCAAAATCGTTTCAGATAGTCGAATCCCATAGTAGGAAATGTGCGGCCGCCTTATCTGCTTGTCTATCGGATAAGATGGCTGGAGATTACGCTGTACTCTTCGTGTCGGGTCTCAGTGGTCGGGTAAAGCGGGTGTGGGGCCAAAAAAAATATACATTATATTTCAGAAATCTGCCTAAAGGCCCCCACAGACGTCGTTCTTTTTCGGCAGGATTACTCGACGTGCAAAACTGTTGGGGTAATCCGGTCGGTGTGTGGCTGAAAACCGTCGTGATTGCCGGCGTTCCAAATAATCTGTTTTGACCTGATTTTTCTCGTCGGTTTTGAACGTGATCGTGCAAGTCGGGCCGTGTGTGGTATACGTACCGGTAATCACGATATATATTTCTAAAAATTGGCAGTGTTGTACGTGATTTATGTATATTGTATATTATAAAATGGCTGATTTGAGGCAATGCAGTAAACAATTTTTAAGTGAATTTATAGAAATGTACAGAAATGTTCCATGTCTTTGGAAAATTAAATCTAGTGAATACGCAGACAGAGATAAGAAGAATAAGGCTTATGAAGTTATGTTAACCAAACTAAAAGAAATTGATTCAGCTGCAACAATAGACATGGTAAAAAAGAGAATTGACTCGATTCGAGGATCGTTTAGAAAAGAACTTAAAAAAGTAAAAGCATCGGTAAAGTCAGGAGCTAATCGAAATTCCTCCAAAAAATTAATGTGAGAGAACTGTTTTTTTAGAAGCCACTTTTTTGTCCATTTAGAGCGTTTTCTCTTAGCATATTTAGATTTTATAGCTAAAACCGTTGCTAACGCCACTGTTGTATCCATAATCACGATAATACTGAAGAAAGCCTGAATAAAATACTGAATAGTATGTGGGCGCCATCAAGTTCGTGATTACCCGAACAGTTTTGCACGTCGAGTAATCCTGCCGAAAAAGAACGACGTCTGTGGGGGCCTTAAGGCTTAACCCGATCCTGCCCAAGTAACATTTTTCGGAGCCTAAAGTTTTATTAAAAGGTAACGGATATTTATAAGAGGTCTATAAGGAACCTTAACATTTATAAGAGTGTTTAAAGTAGCAAGCAATTTGTTACAAAACCATATAAATTATATATCACTGTAATCACAAAACTTCAATATATTTCCGTATTGTAACAGAATTTTAAATTATGTTTCTATTTGCGAGAAAATTTAGTCCAAACATAAGAAATATTTTGTTGATGTTTGACCATTAAAATCTTAAAAATAAAGAAGTTGTCTAAAAATGCGCTACAATACGGATATAGTATAATCCTTTATCTTTAATTTCCTTAGTCATTTGTGTAAAAATACCTAGCCAGTTTTACATAAAACGTTAAATGCCGAACGCTTATTTTGCTACTTTTTCGGACTAGTGAAATGGACTCTTAAATGTTTCTTATTTAAACAAAATTATTGATATAAATTACATTTACATTTTTATAGTTCTGTTTTCAAGCGTTTTAACTTTATTCATAAACTAAACGGAAATTTTACTTATTAATTTAATTCAATATAGTACCGCAACTTCAAAAACATTTACTTTATGATGCTCATGTTTTCCTAACCAATTAAATCAGTACCGGTTTCTGTACAAAATCTCGAAGGCTAATCGTATATTTTCGCGATATTTATTGTTGATTAGCGTGATGAGCGCTAACACGCTAACCAGCTAAACCGGCTTCTTTATTTTTTCCAATTACAAACAAAATGACAATAAATAATAATTGGTCACGTAGCTAGTTTATTTTTCTATATTTACCAAGAATTATTGTCAGTACACGTTTATTATAAAATAACTATTATTTTTTATTATCATTTCGGACTTTGCGGTTTGTCATGTTAATATTAAAAGATTTTTTTATAATAATAATGTAGTGGTATAGTTGTAGAAAATAGATGATTAAATTTAAAATGAATAGCACTAACATCATAATTAGAATTATTTTTAACTTACATTTGTTTGTTGATGCTTCTGTAAAGTACAGTGTCCTCGCACTGTACTTTACAATGATAGAGTAAAGTAAAAAATAGGTATATTATGACACACTTAAAAGTTACAGGCTTTTGTAAAATTTATCGAAAAAATCTGCGATTTTTTTAATTTTAAATAGGTAAAATTGAGACATTAATTTTGAACACCCTGTAGCACATGCTTCAAATATCTTTACGTATATCTTTTATTAAATTTCATCTCTATAAAACTCTCTTACCAAATTTTAGTACTCCAGCTTTAGAAACAATAGCGTAGTAACTGTCAATTTTTTATCGTATTAAAATCTAATGTATTTTTAATTTAATTGAAAAATTATAAAAACAACTACTACAGTTTTAGATACACGATATTATACAGGGTGAGTCTTAAATAAATGCCAATATTTTTAAGGGTAGTATATTTCAACCCCCCCCAGAAACACATCTATGAGGTTTTTTCCTGGATTTTTTTTGAAAATCTTGAATTTTGAAGTTTTCTGGAATTTTCGGATTTTTTTATTTTTTTTGTTAAAGAACATAATATCTTGATAATATGGCAACATAGGTAGTAAATTAAATGTACAAGAAAGAAAACTCAAAAAAGATCTAGAGATTCTCAAAATTTAAGCAAAAAATCATATTTTTTTTAATTTTCAAAGTAAAATAACAAATAACACGGTTATTTTGGACTTATTTGAAAAACGGTAAAGAGAAAATCTGTTTCTTTTATCGAGATCTATCAGCCTTGAAAATAATTTGCGCGCTTTTAAGACTCACCCTGTAAATAAAAAGGAATTAGTATCTTATTACCTATAACCGTTGATTGAAAGAATTGGGAAGATGCGCAACCTTATGGGCGAATTCCTTACAAGGCTGTTTTGATTTCCCCCTTTTCCCCACGTCTCAAGTGCTGTACGGTGGTGACACAAATCGTCTTGCGGTCAACGCACAAAACACTTATTTTCTCTAATTTGGCCAGTGAAGGCATAGCGAAGACGGTGAGGATCTGAAAGCGACAGTGTTGTCGTATTAAAATGTGTAATACCTGTAATACGCTTGACGAAAATATCTTTGGATGAAAAATCCGTGTTTATGTATTGAAAATTTATTCGTGTTAAACATAGAATAAACAACAAAAATAAAAATGCTTTTTTAAGTACTGAATATGTCGTATGATCGAAAAAAGTCGTTTAGGTGGCTTGGAAATGACGATTATGACATTTATCATAATATTTTACATATGAAATAACAAGGACCTTCATTTCCAAGCCAACTTTGACGCCGTTCGTTGTTTAATCATATAATATTACATTATATTGTTTAATGATAGAAAATCCATATTATTAACGTACTCTACCCAAAATCCGTAAATCTACGGATTAATCCGTAGTTCTGGCAACACTGTCTCCGGCAACCACTCACTCTGTCGACTGAAAGCAGAACCACGGCATATAAAACAAGAACTATGGTACTGTATTCTTTATATGCTTTGCTGTAAACGACTATCAGCGCGCAGCGGCGCAAAGCTAAACTAAATCTCGGAATTCTCGGACAGGCTGACGGTAACGCCAACTATATCTCGGACATGTTTTGTGCCGCGAAATCCCCCCATAATTTTGTACTTTTTTATTTTTTATCTTCTTATTTCTTCAATCTACGCTATACCTATCTGTCAGTATAGTTATTAAAAAAGAAAAACAATGTTGGTGCTCTCAGTAAACAACTTAATGGTCAACTGCTTATTTTTTGATAGTTATTTACCTCTAGTTATATTTCGCGACTGAATGATAGATAAGAAAAAGGAATAAAACTCTCAAGAGATTAATTTATTATTTAATAAGTACAACAGGCTTAAAATATACAATTTTGTTTAAAATTATGGTTAATAGCAATATGTATATATTTATAAAACAGCGGACGGATAAACAATTCTGCATTTAAAAACATAAATGACTAGAGCAAGTGTTGAATTTTTGGTAAAACTATTATCTATTATTTCCGCCCAAAATTTGAGATGTTTTCGTAGTCAGAAACATTAAACAAGACATAGGATAGGTACGGTATTAATAAGAGTTACAACTAGTTCACTACTTTAAACTTAAAGGAATATTTCATATTTACAAATACTTTCTACAACAAAAGAAACGTCACTACCTTATCACAACACAGTCTCTCTCTCTTTTAAAGTCCATAAAATATCGTTATTGTAGCAACAACACCAAAGATCACACCGCTTGTCGTTCTATCAGCTGAAGAAGCAGTCAGAGGTCTGGTAGAACCATTTTCTGAAACAGTAGTGGAGTGAGCAGTTGACGATGACGCTTCAGAACCTGATGGTTCAGGTGAAGGCTCAGGCTCTGCCGATGGTTCGGGTTCTGGTGAAGGTTCAGAAGAATGTTCCTCTTCAGAATTTGCACTTGGTTCAGGTTCAGGTTGAGGAGATAAGTAAGGGTCTTGATCTAAACCTGTGTTGATAGGTTTCAGTTCTTCAGATTCTGTCGTACTACTCGTGCTGCTTGATTCTGCCTGGTTGTTGTATGAATATGAATCGTCATAGAGGTAGTTCATTCCTCCGACGTTTGATGCAATCAATCTGAAGTTTGGTTCTTTTAAATCAAGTTTATCATAAATGAATCTCTCAAGTCTGTTGACTAGTATAGTAAGGTTTCCTTCTTTATCCAGAGCAAAGGAATTGGGCCATTCCAGGTACCTTTCATCTTTAGCTATAATTTTCTGTCCTGTCTGGAAAGGTGTGTGAATATCCCACCTAGCTATACTGTTACTACCTAGCAAGCTGTAGTACAAGACCCCTTCATTATCCATTACCATACCGACAGTTTGAGATGCTTTCAATCCATGATCTGTTACCTGTCCCTGATACTCCCCATCATCCATAGCGAAATGGTCGTTCTTTAGGACACTGGTGTTGATGGAATAAATGTGCAGAGATGAAATGGGAGTGTAGAATACTTCTCTGTCTTCGTTGATGACGACTCTGTCTCCGTTTGTGCTTAGTTTGGGGCCCAGGGCTATGCTGGCGAGGTTGAGGGGTGCGTTGATTCCTACGCCGTTGACTTTGAAGAAGACGGCGTTGGGATCGGCGTGCATGGATTGGGAATGGCGGATCTTCCAGGAGCGGTTCTGCTTGACCGAATATACGATGATGCCTGGAAAGGAAATAAAAAAATAGATTAGTTAATAGTCAAAAATTTTCAGTATTATTGTTTCAATATTAGGAATAAAAAATACATTATGATTTGAAGATTGTTCTTAATTAAATGAAAGAAAAAAGATAAATCTTGGAATTGTCATATTTCAAAGAAATTAGAGTTAATATAAAACAACATACTATTTTAGCTTTATAATTTTATAAAAAAACGATAATTCTATTACCCGGTCGGATAGGTCTGGCCATTAAACCAATATACTATATACTATAAAAATACTACTAAATCTGTATCTCTGACTATTACTAATAACTAATTAGAATTTAGAGTCAGTAACTCGCATTTTCATTGAAGGACGCTGTCATATTTTATTTCAAACCAATAATCAACGAGAATATTCGTATAATTTAATAAAATTAGTGTAAATCACTATAAATAATGAATTGTTTGTAATTGAGCTGTAATTTCTGTATTATTAATCCTGTAAATAATGGAGATAAACAAGTGTGATTGATTAAAATTTTATTTTAAGATGAAACTTTTGTTAACAACATTCTGAGAATTCGAATAATGAATTGAACAACTATGTCTAAAAAAGACAGCGATTAGAGTGACAATTTGGCAGTGTAAAATTTAGAGTGACAATTTTGATTATGCAAAAAAATACATATTCCTTAGTTTACTGGTTTGTCTAACTATTAACATTAATTTAAAAATAAATCCCCAACATGAATATGAACAAAACATTTAAACAAAAACAGACAACACAAAACAAATTGTTGGAGTAGCCGTTAGTAGTAGCACAGATTAGGTATCCTATAAGTATACAGATAAAAATCTTGTCCCTAATTCGTGGTACGAAAATTGTTTTTTATGACGATGTGCAAACGAGTCAAATTTCCTGTGCGCAAAAATAAACTCGCGTAAAATAACAATAAACAGCGTAATAGAGAGATATCGCTAAACCGAATAGCG